GATGTTTGTCTGTCACAGGAGAAGCTTTCGCTCACCTCCCTATCTTTCAAATTTGCTTGCTGCAAATTGGGCAATCGGTCACATCAGGAAGTAAATAGGGGCTCCTTTTGCATGCATGCTTGCTCAGATAGAAAGCTGGATGGAGTTGTCAGCAACTTCTAATGACGTGCTACCTGTAGTATCTGATGACGTTGGGCTGGTGAATAGAGAGACCTCTCCATAGAGAATCATCTGGAGAAAAGATGGGCATGAACTGCTGGGTTGGTGGTTTGTGTCAGTTTGAGCTGGTTCATCCTTTGGATGTTCTGCGGTTCCCAGCCCTGCCTCCTCCAGCAGCTGCCCAATCAGAGGCAGTGCTTGGAGGAGGCACAGCAGGGAAACCAGGGTGCTGCCTCTGACTGGGCAGGGCTGAGGATTCTGAAGTAACTCAATTTCATTCCTCTCTTTCTTTCTTTCTTTCTTTCTTTCTTTCTTTCTTTCTTTCTTTCAGGGGCTGGGAGGAGGCACAGCAGGGAAACCAGGGTGCTGCCTCTGACTGGGCAGGGCTGAGGATTCTGAAGTAACTTAATTTCATTCCCCTCTTTCTTTTTCTTTCTTTCTTTCTTTCTTTCTTTCTTTCTTTCTTTCTTTCTTTCTTTCTTTCTTTCTTTCTTTCTTTCTTTCTTTCTTTCTTTCTTTCTTTCTTTCTTTTCCTTCCTTCCTTCCTTTCCAAGAGAATTCATTAGCTCATCCTTCCTGGATCTTTCTGGCTTTGAGCGTAGGTGTCTTGCTTTAGGAAAACACAGGTACACACACACACACACACAGAGAGAGAGAGAGAGAGAGAGAGAGAGAGAGAGAGAGAATTCTTAAGCATTTTAAATGGAATTGCAAAAGACAACAATGAAACGGAGCACCAATGATTGCTCTGTATTGCCACCTACAGTCAAAAGGCACAGTAAAAGGAAAGGCATGAAGAAGGCTGAGATTTCTGGAGGAAGGTATATTTAAGAGAGAGAATGATTGTAGAACCTTTCCATTCCGCAGAGGTAGGTTGAATTGCAGTTCCTCATGGCACCATCCCAGCTTCCCTTCTGGTGGCCAGACCTCTCCCCTCCCGTCAGTCTCTTGGGCTTTTCTCCTGCTCTCTCCAGCCCTCATCACAATTCAGTCCCCTATGCTGGAAAAACAAGACACACATTTGTGTGTTCTGTCTTGTGCATCCGTAAGTGGTTGGCTATCCTCACTGAAGAACACCGGCTGAAATCTTACTGCATAGTGTAAAGTTGCCTTTTCAGAGGTTCACAGGGAGTTATGCCCAGGCCATCTGTGTGTCTGATTGCACAATTAGTTTTGCAACCAATTGCACAACTGATTGAGTCACAGGTTCCACAGCTATGCAAGTGAACCTTGGCAAAATTTCTCCCTGGTGGAACTTTTGCACTGGTTTGTGCAGATTCAAGTTAGGCAGGCATAGCTGTGCAACAGGATTTTGGCTCCTGTCGTATTGCTAGTGCCATGAAAGAAAACAAACAACAATCCATCCAATTTGCTTTGGCACATGCAGAAAGAGGCCAGCTTATCCTTTGTCTCAGGCAGCAAAGTAACTTGGGCTGCTCTTGTGTACTCATTCCTTGTCTTCTCCTGATGAGAAAGTGGAGGGATGAGGGACCTGACTTAGCTCACTTGCTCTTTCTCTGTGTTCATCATTATCATCATCTTAGAATTGCAGAGCTGGAAGGGGCCCTATGATTCATCCAGCCCAGCCCCTCTCTAGGAAGCCCATTGGGAAATCCAACTCCCAACCTTTGGCTTTGCCACTAAACCACTGAGCTGTTCACGTGCATGGGTGCATGGGTGAACATGCAGAGCTACAACAAATCTCTGTGGCACTCAGGACTTTGCTACCCTGAAACCAGCATCCCTGTCGACAGAAGAGAGGAATGAACAGGATGAATGGTTAGATCTGAGGGTGCAGGAACTACATTAGTTCTGTGCTAAGCTTGAATGTTTTAGGTTTCCTTCTGCTTGGGAATGAGGGTGGTGGTCTTCCAGCAGCATGTGTCAAAACGCGGGTTTCTGCCTTTCCCTCCCTGTTTGGTTCTCTTGTTTCGCCCCTTCTCACTCCAGCACTCTGGGTCAATGCCCTAGTTGCTCTGTCTTACATAGGGCTCTCTCTGTGTGCCCATGAGTGCATGTATTTATGGAGAGGGCTGAATCGGATGAGGAAGAGGGCATGTGGATGAGATGCACATCTATCTGGATGGGATACTAAGCAAGAGGGAGGGAGTGACTAGGTTTTGTCAACCATATTGGGATCGGGTCGCATGCCAGCAATGAGATGGCCATGTCTACTTTGGGCGGTGACTTCACGCACTCCGGGCCTGAGGCCTACCATCTCCTTGCCTGGGGCCAAGTCAGCCCTCAGGCCATAGGAAGGTCCTCCATGTCTAGGCCAAAGAAAGCACCAACTGTTAAGGAATTTATTTCTGTTTAAGGGGTCACCAGGATGTTGGATTAATTAAAGAAAGCCGCCTCTTGGAAGGCTTTCTATTATTTAGTGTAGCGGATGGAGTGACAGACCAAGGCTCTTGAGAACAGGGTTCAAATCCCCACTCAGCCGCGGAAACACACTGAGGGAGCAGAAGTGGTCAAACCACTCCTTAAATATTTCTCGTACCTTGAAAACTCATTAGGGTTGCTGCAAGTCATTTCCAAATTAACTGCCCAGGACACACCCACGCCCAACCTGTTTAACCTGAGGCAACCGTGTGTTGAGGTGGAGAAGCTTGGGTTGGGGTGAGGGTGTGGGTGGGAAGAGCCCAGGGGCCATTTCTGGAAAAAAAATAGATAGCTAAGAATTTTTCTCTGACTCTCTCAGCCTAAAGAGGATAGTTTTGAGAAAATCATCCCCTCTGCTTTGTAACATTGCCTCACACACACTCACGCTGGACTGCTCCAGAAGCATATGTTGATGTTCCTTAAAATATAGAACAGAGCCAAAAAAAATGAAGAGGAAAAAGAAAAAGCAGCTTTCTTGGTTGCTGCTGCTGATCATGAATTCCTTCCTCAGCAAACTGCAGGAAAAATTTCATTCCCTCAATAATACCCAGTGAAATAGTCTCTTTACCAATTTAGCTCCTTCAGGGCTGGGGGTGGGGGAGATGGACGATTTTTTAGCAAGCCATTTCCACTCCGTTGCTGTTTCTTCTGAAGACAGATGCCATCTGAAAATCCTTTCAGCTTTCTGGAAAGGGGAAAAAAACATGGACCATTTTCCTGACGGAAGAAAATCACAATGCACGTGTATTTCAAAGAGGGTGGCTACACCACACAGCAGAGATGCGAACCTCACTTTCGCCTCAGGTTAAACAGGTTGCGCAGATATATTTTAATAACAGATGACTTCCTGAGGGGTAGGAAGGGTTTTCCAGTGAGGAACTGTGGGGGAAATCCCTCTTTCCTTCTCACAAATAAGATTTGTCTGCACAAGATTATTTTTAAATGCAAGAAGCCTCACAGGAGTTCTTGGACAAATCCTGGTTGTTGTTGTTGGTTTTTTTTTTTTTTAAAATCCTGGAAGAAACAAGCACCAATCTGGGCCGAATTATTACAACTCCTGTGCCAAATGGGATGGTGGTGATGGTCAGTTCCAGAGCCAAAGTCCAGTTTGGGGTCTGAGAAGAGCAGCCCCCTCCCATCTTCTGGGACCTGGAAGGGAATCAGCCAGTGCTCCTTCAAGACCCACAAACAAGAGAGTGAGTCAGTTTTACCCCCGGGTGGGGTTGTGGTAGGAGAGCACCCATTTCCCGCCCACCTGGGCCATTGCATCAATGATGGAACTGCTTTGAGAAAACTAGCCTGGGGAAACAAAAGGCGATCTAGAAGAGGCTCTGGAGGCATCACCGTCAACACCAATGTCTCGTCCACCTGGTCCAGACACAAGAGGAACATCTCCACCAGGAGAACGTTCCTTCCCTTCAGCGCCAAGAACCAATCCTGTCGGGGGAGCCGGTCAACCACCTTGTCCCACAATATCCTACTGTAGCTCCCGCAGCAGAATGCATCGATCAACTGGCCGGCCTCAGCCGATTGAACTATCGGTTGCTTTTCTCTTAGACATTCATCTAGAGGTATCGATTGTAACGTCGGCATCTTCACCTGGAAAAGGCGAACGAGCTGGGTACGTGTCATGCCATTTCTCTCTGTTTCTTCACTCAGGTCCCCTTTGAAAACCTCTCAATCAACTGCCCACTCATGTCTCTGAGCCCGAATCTATGTGACTGCGCGTTTATAAATGCATCCTTTGAAGCTCTCTTCCCCCCACTTCTCCTGCCTCGGTAACAATTTCGACTGCCAGCTCCTGGCGGTGAAGACCTTTCTCTTTCATACATGCACACGGCAGACTGACACTGTAAAAAAAGGTTGTTGTTATATGCTGTCAAGTTGTCTCTGACATATGGCAACCTTATGAACGAGCGATCGCCGAAATCTCCTGTCCTCAACAGCCCTGCTCAGCTCTTACAAACCAAGAAGGTAACATGATAGAAAGTACATCAAATCAGGACAAACAACAGAACATACATCTGAATGGGAAAGGGAGACGCACCTACATCATATAGATGGAACAAGCAAAAAAGGAAGAATCTGATGGCACCAACCTAGTGGTTTAGGTCTCTGGCTGTGAAGCCAGAAGTTCGGAGTTCAATTCTCCACTAGCTCTCCTTGATGGGCTGGGCTGGATGATCCATACGGTGCCTTCCAGCTCTGCAAGTTCAAGGATTGCTGTTGTTCTTGCTTTTCTTGTTGTTGCTGCTACAATCTGTGTGTTCCAGATGTACCAACAGCAGGAAGGAGAGATGGATCATTTAGTCTTCTGGAGCACTGGTCATGTCTCCCATTATTTTTTCCTTCTCCTCTTGAAAGCTTTGGGGCTTACATTAGCTTTGTCCAGTTGCCATCTTTCATGGCAGTTGGCCTGTCTCAAGAATTCTATGGTTACTTGGCTACCAGACGCGGTTGCTATCTATTCCATTCTGTGCCATCTTTGAAAAAGAAGAAAGAAAGAAAGCACCAGGCACATGCCACAGCAAAGTGCGTGGCCAATTCTGATTTTTATTTTATTTTGTTGTTTTAATTCCTCCTCGTCTTCCTGAACAAGCGAGGAACCATGCTGACAAGTAGGACAAGCCTACCGTGTTCAGCAGTCAGTCCCAAGGTCTCCTTTCCCCTGGGTCCCTTCCCAAGACACATCTGGATCCATCATAACACACCCCAGGACAGTCTGGATAAAGCTTGCCATGAGATCTGGAAAAGAGTTCAAGGCCTCCCCGAAGAACTCCAGCCAAGGTCCTCCTCTCCAGTTCTCCAGCTAAGCTGTCACCCCGTCCCATCTTCTGAGGCTCTCCAAGAAGATGGCAGTGGGACCAGCAGCAGTTCTCAAAAGGAGTGAGTGCGATGTTTTTGGTCTGATTTAATTTAATTCGATGTACATTTCCCTTGGAAAGCTCTGCCTAGCTGGTGGAAACGGGATTCTTGGAGGAGGCTGTTCGTGAGGGTTGATCAGACTTAAAGGGAAAGTGTTTATTTTATTCTTGGATTCGTGTTTATGCCACAGAGATGGTCTTATTTCATAGGCCTTACTGCTGTTATGGCTGGTTGAGAAGTCTCCTTTCAAATTGCTCTCAGATATAACTTGAAGAGTAATAGAATGTTAATATTAAGGTGCAAGTGTTCATCCTTGATCAACCTCCTTCCTCCCAGAAAAGGAGTCAAAAAAAATATATGCCACTCCCAACTTCTAGCTCCATAGCCAGACCCCAAACCACTGAGCTATCCAGCCAGCTTTAATGTTAATATTAAGGTGCAAGTCTTCATCCTTGATCAACCTCGGAGTCCAAAAAAAATATGCCACTCCCAACTTCTAGCTCCACAGCCAGATCCCAAACCACCGAGCTATCCAGCCAGCTTAAGGAAGAGCTACTGAAAGGTAGTAATAGGGTGTGATCACATGTGAAAGCAGATAACAATCTGGACTCCTTGTGGATCATTTTCCTGATCATTACATGATACTTAGAGAAATATGCTCCACTCAGACCCCAATATATCCCCTTTTGAGTTCAGCTGTAGAGATTTTCCTACTTTTTCCTGGCCAGGCTGGATTGATTCCCTAACAGACAAAAGGGTTGCTTGAGGGGGAATAGTTCCCATTAAAACAACCCTTTCTGGGTATCCAGGCCTTTGCATCTGCCATAACTTTAAAATGTAAGGGAGCCAAAAATGTCATTTTTTGCAGTCGTTGGATATAGATATTTGAAGGAGGCGGAGCAGACAACTCTAATTAATTAAGAAAAAAATGTCCTTGTTTGGAATCAACATTTTGGGGCGGGGGAGACAATAAGACAAAGAAGAGGGCAGGAGAGTTTCCTGATGTAAAACGAGGGCATCTCTCCACCTTAATGTAATGAAAAATGATATTCACACAGAAGCCAGTGTCAGGAATTTGACTAATTCTTGCACTGGGAAGAAAACAAACTTAAAAAAAACACACACTAAGATCTCCTGGACCGAGAAAGCACATCTCTGTTGTTTGTTCAAAAGATTCCAGGGCCTTTTTCAAATTGGGCTTGGAGCGACTGCTTTGCATAAGTCAATATGTTAAAATAATTAAAGGCCGCCAGATCAAGCGAAAGGGCACGGGGGATAATCTTGGCCCCGAATGTTACCGTGGATGACAAATTGAACCGACACCTTCCATCCTTTGGCAGGCAAGTATGGGCTAAGATGCAAAGCTTGCCTGGGTCGTGGGCGTCGGGAGGTGGGGGGCCAGTTGGCAGGAACAGACACACCAACGGTGCCCTTTAGGGAGACTATAATGAATTGTAGGTGTCTGAAAATGGATGCCTCCGCTTCTAAGGTCAGGAAAATGTAAAACGACAAGATCAGAATCCACGGCATTTTATTTGTTGCAATTTAATCACATGCCTCAGTGGATTTTCTTCTCCTGTCTTGAAGAAAAGTTGGGGTTATGTCATGCCCCATTTTCTCTCTCGCTCAGGAGTAACACTCCTAGAATAAGTATATGAAATTTCCACCTTTTTTTTTAAAGTTTTGAGAAATATCCAGCTATCCTGCTACGGCCCTTTTTGGAGAGATTTGCGAAGTCTGGGTTTCTAGAGTGGTTCTTCTAAGTGCCCGTGCCATTTCGGCAGATACCAAGACCACGACTCCCATAATACCCCAGGGAATCCTGGGTGTGTTATTTCAAAACAGCAATGGTTCCAAACCTTGAGTAAGCCAACACATAATAATGGGCTCTAACTACAGGAAGTTTGAGGCTGAATATCAGGGAAATCTTCTTAACTGTTAGAGCAGTACAACAATGGGACCGAAGACCTTGGGAGGTGGTGAGCACTCCAAGACCACAGGCATTCAAGAGGAAAATTGACAACCATCTCTCCAATCTAGTTTGATTTGGATTCCTGCCTTGAGTGGGGGGCTGGACACAATGGCCTTCTAAGCCCCTTCCAACTCAATTATTTTCTGATTCCATCATCACACCAAGAGAAAGAAAATTGGGGGTGAATAACTTCCCATATGCTGTTCCATGACCATGGATGAAGATATGTGTAGGGCTTTAAAAAAAAAAAATCTCACATAGAATCCTCCGAGTGCATAATCATCATAATGTCAAATAATGGTAAAGAATACAATGCATTGTACTGTGCCAGCTTCCAGTCTTTCCCCCTCCAACTTCTATGAACTCTTTCACAATGGAAAATCTCTCACTCTGGAGCTTACAGAGGTGGAAACCTTCCTATATAGTACCGCAACCTATCCAGAGTATTCTGTACTTCTAGCCTCAATTCTCTTTGCATTTATTAAAGTTCACCCTCCTATCGCCTACCTCCGAATGTTGGCTTGAATTTATGTTGACGAGGCTCACTTACCATGCCTCTGCATCCTGCAGGAAAAAACAAAAACCTAGCTTCCCTGTTGAGTTGGAAATTACTGTCACTTATTCCATTTTATGTTTGCAAAGCAGGTATGTCCTAACACAGCAGTGTTTGTGTTTATTGTAATGCTAGCTGTGTGGGAAGAATGAAGGAAAGGAAGCTCTCTTTTTTAAAAGGGGGTTGGGGGTGGAGAAAAGCTGAAAAGGATAGAATCTGAACTGCTGGCTAGCTCAGTGGTTTATGTCCGAGGTGCAAGTCACATGCATGCAAACATTTCTGCTAAGCCAGTGAAGCCTAGCACCAGCTGGGAACAGATGGAGAGGGACGCCCCCAACTTTATGAATCAGACTTCATAAAGTTCTCTTCCAGTGCTGCTTATCCTGCAACACCCCAGACTGCTAGGACGCCCAAAGAAACAACACTTCCCAGACACTTGAGTGGACATTGCAAGACCTGGCAATCTAGCACTGACCTCTAGATTGTTAGGGGTCAATGGGTTTTATGGTTCAACCCACCTTGGGGATGCTGGGTTGGGCAAAACACTTCTAAAACAAGGGGGGGAAGGAACTGCATGGCCTGGCAAACATGGACGTTTGGTTGAAATCAGAGCAATTATGACCATTGATCCTGTCCACATTCACTCTGTTTGTCACTCCCATGTTTATGCTCAGCCATAATGCCCAGAAGCAAATGGAAACTGTGTCTGGTCTGCAATAATCACAATTATACCAAGCCATTCCAGGAAGCGGTGGGTGCTCTTCCCCGGCTGATGAGTATTTCATAGCTGTGCAGCAGTTGCAGGCAGGAAATTACTAAAGAATTGTTGTATCTCTAGAATCAGCAAAAATTTCAGGGAGTGAAATGAAATGAAAAGGAAAGGAAGATCTGTTCAATTTACCAAAATAATAAAGACTCCTCTAATGACACCGTGATGCCGTAATTAGAGATAATTAAATAATATGCCGCGCACTAAGAAATCTGGCATGGTATTGATATGTATAGATATCAGATAAGTACATATGTAGTGTGTGTTTATAACACCATCTGTTCTATCTTCGGAGCTTGTAACAAAGTGAGTAAAGAAGCAAACCGCATTTATGTTGTTAATGATAATTGGTAATGAGTGATCAAGCGGGATTGGCGTTCCAGAAAAGTTGTTGCTTGTGGTGCCAGATGGTATGGCTCCACAAACTCCTACTGCAGTGGCTTGGGTTTTCACAAAGAGTTGACAAGCAACGGGTTACTCTTATCACAAACACTTGGTTGTTTAATGTGTTCTCGAAGGCTTCCACAGCCTGGATCCGAGGGGTTGTTGTGGCGGGGGTTTTTTGAGGGCAGGGGGTAGTAGACTGTCCTGATCACCATAATCACCCAATCTCCTGAAAAGGACAAAAAGCTGATCCCACAGCTATGTGTACTCAACTATCCCACTCACTACACCAGAACACATTCAAAGTTCTGTCCTCTGAAGATGCCAGCCACAGAGATGGGTGAAATGTTAGGAAGAAAAACCTTCAGAACATGGCCAAACAGCCCTGAAAACCCACAACAAACACTTGGTTGTTTCTTTTTTTGTCACGTGTGGCTTGATTTGCTTCCTTGAGTCATTTCCCTTAGCTTCATTCCGTAGCACTCCATTCTGCTCCAAATCTTATTCTTCGTCCCACCTAGAGCTGACCCATTCAAGCAATGAGTTGACTTACCAAATGTCCATTGATTCAGTGGGTCTCTTCTAGAGAGGACTAACCATCAGATCTGGGGCTGCAGTAGTGGCACCAGGGTGGCAGCACCATAACAAGAGTAGGAAGCCTCCCCACTGGGAACAAACCACGAACATTCGCGAATTATCACAAATCACCATTTTAAAGGTCCGTGTCAATGTCTAATGTAAACATCTTTAATAGATATTTCCCAAGGTTTTGTCCCTGTTAAATGGGACTGCGAGGGTTTTTGAGGTTTTTTTTTTCATATTCTGAGACTCGTGAAAAACAAGCAGTGCACATGCAAAAATCCCTGTAAAGTACCCATAGCTATTTCTCCACAACTGATCATGGGGCGTTCTTGGCAAAGATACTGGAGTGGCTTGCCATTACCTACTCCAGGTGGATTGCGTTTAGTCGGAACTCTCCACTATGTCCTGTCCGTCTTGGGTGTCCCTGCATGGCATAGCCCATAGTTTCTCTGAGTTACTCA